ATAAAAAAAATACAAGATTTAACATTGTGAGATAGAACAAAATTTTATGTTTTCATCTCTTGAAATCATTCTCATTAAACTTTTCAAGCTTCTCTCCATGAGTCACATGAATAAGTAAATAAATAGGCACTACGTGAGGAGGAGTAGTAGAGACATTATATCATTTGTAGTAATTTTTGATAAACAAAATTATAAAATATTCAAAAAGCAAGAAAATAGTAACACTTTAAAAAACATGTTACTAAAATAGAGACAACTTGTGTTACTATTTAATGTCATTGTTAGATGTCACAGTTTCAATGTCACTGTTTTATGTTACAGTTTCAATGTCACTATTTTATGTCACAGTTTTAACTTTTAAATTCATAATTACAATAAAATATTAACATAAAAATATATAACATAACATATAATTCTTCACAAAAAATATTCCAAGTATAACCAAAATACTACAAATTGTAAAATTCAAGTACTTAACAATTTGTAGTATTTTTTTAAAACAGTTTATTATACTAATAACATGAATGAAAAACATAATAAATAATTATACAAATAAGAATTCTATCTTAAGATTGTTTGATTTATTTCCTAAATATAACAAAATCAGTTATTGAAAAATCTGATTTGAATAATTTATTTAGAATAAAATAGTAACAATTAAGAAAAAATAGTAACACATATAAAGTAACAAATTCAAACTGACTTGTTTATTGAATAAGAACTGTTATTGAACTTTAAATAGATCAAAAGTAGTATTTGACATTATGTTCTTAAGACAAATTTTGCCCCACACTTGGTGTTTATGAAAATCTAATCACCTACCTCTCAAGATACAATGATCTTCATGCAGTTAGAATTAGCACTCTAACCTAATTGTCCAACGAACCAGAATGGTGTTGTGTACTCTCATAATAATATAAACTACTAATGACGAATTTTTGAATATAATGACTGCCTTAATTCATAATGTAGTTAATCTGAAGTTAATTGACTATGCAGAATGGTTTTGGGTTCATATTGACATAGAGGCGACCGTTTGGTACATCCACCGGTGAACAGACTCAAACCAAAAGACACCATGCGATAAACTAATCATTAATGAATAGGCACGAATCATAATTCGAATTGGGAAGGAAACAAAAATCCTAATTAGTGCGAATTTTGGATTCCAATGGGCCTAAATAAAATTTGGACCTAATTTGTTAAATAATTTTTTTCCAAAAAGAAATAAAGTCTGGTCAAAACCACACTCGAGCCCAAGCCCAAGCCCAACTGGTCGATAACACATGCGTGGTCAAACCAAAGCCCATCTAGGTGCTCGTTCCGCTCACAAAAGTGTGATACGCTTGGGATCCAACCCATAGTGCAAAGTTGGGATATATGTGCACAAGAAGAAATTCTTGCATAATCAATATGGAATTGGTGTCAAATCTCATATTACCTAAATATATTATTTTCTCATTCATTTCTTATTCGATTTGAGTAAGTGAATATACTATATTATTTTCCTCATGGAGTAGAGCACGAACCCAATAAAATTTACTTGAAACGATGAACAGATCTCACTTTAATTAAACTCAAGTCAAACAAAAATTCAATTTTAATTCACAAAAACTGCTTTGGTTCCAATAAGATTCACACAATTTCCTCAATAGGGCATTCTAATTTTGATGTAGAGTAGTTCTTTTCAACTGGTTATTTGTATTTGGTATTTTTTGTTAATTGATTTTTTTTTTTTGTCGCGACTTTGACTTACGTACGATGGTGAAGCGTGCGCAAAGGAGAATTTTTTTTTTTTTCAGCTAACTTTAATGTTTGACAAATTTTGTCGTTCACTAGGACAAGAACTATAAGTTTTAAATTATTTTTGTTGGTTTTCAAGTGAGTTCATAATTTTTTTTTTTTTTTGTTAGTCATAGTTTTTGTGCATTAAGATTATGAAGACGACCTCGAATTGGAAGTGTGATAAATTAATAGATGCCATTAAAGTGGGAAAATATTAATATTGAATGCTTTCCTTAACTGTCAATTGCTGATTGAATTTTTTTTTTTTTTTGGGATTTTTGCATTTTGTAACCCAAAAGATGTCTCAATTTAACTTTATACCTCTAAATATTATTTTTCTCATTTTACACCCTGAATGTTATAAATTGGTTCCAATGCTACCCTGGAATTAACATTCGTTTCAGATTTTGTTAAAAATTGATACACACGTCACTCAAGAATATGACTGATGAGTTTATATATTTGTCCAAGAGCTACACATGCGGGTGTCATGTGTATCAAATTATAATGGAATTTGAAATGAATATTAGCTCGAGGGTCACATTGGAACCAATTTATGACATTCAAGATGTAATGTGGGAAAGATAATCTTTCAGAGTGCAAACGGGAAATCGAGACATCTTTTGGGGTGTAAAATGTGAAAAGCCTTTTTTTTTTGTTCAATAATTATGGGTGTTTGGGCTAACTTACGTGCACCTCGATTAATCTCCTTATCGGTCTAATCAAAAGCAAGTCACCCATGTCATGACTTAAATCCCTCGTGGCCACCGCAAAGAGTTGTCAATATTTAAACTCATGATATTTAAGTTTACATCTCGTCCTTCTTACCGCTTGAGTTAACATGTTGGGTTGCTATTGAATTGTTGATGTATCTCTATCAAGAGATATAAACTTTAAGACACTCAAGAACACATAAATCTTTTTAATGAGAGGATGGAATGACCTGGTAAGCTTTTCATAATTTTCATTTGTTATTTCTTAGTTTTTTTCCACTTGAACTTAATAACTCAATTACCAATTTTGGTTGGAGCAGAGTGGTACTGTTGGAAAGCATTACAATAAACTGGTAAATTTTTGAGTTATAGTGTCTTTAGCCACGGGTTCATTACTAATTTTATGTATAAGTACTAAAATACTCTTATTCTAATCATCGAACATTTTCTCCGTTATTATAATTTTGTTAAATAATTTAGTTAACCACCAAACCCAACATTCCCTAGACACTTCTAAACGTACCATCAGGTCCTAAGTTTTTCATATCTTCCTTTCCTTTAATGTCTCCTCTACTTCCGACTTCATAATTCTATAAAAATTATGTAATTGGTATCAATCTTCGCATCTTTTGCTAACTATTCCCCAACTCAGAGAGAGAGAAAGATGGACATTACACTTGCATGGTGGGTGACATGGGTTTTGGGGGCTCTTCCTTTGTTCATTGGTGTGATCTGGGGGTGGAATGATTTATACTACACGGTTACACTTGGGGCTCGTTGCTCAGCTACTGGTACAAAACTTCCACCTGGTTACATGGGTATTCCTTTTCTTGGCAATTGTTTGGAAAGGGTTCAAATATCATCTTTTAGGACTCTATTAAATGAAAAACGATAAAAATTCTTATTATGCGATGACAAAATTTAAAACAGAGAACTAATAAAAGATAATTCTTTTATCAATCCAGTCGAAATGATTTCGATTACAAAAGACTAAATAAAATAACCTTAAGGTTTTGGTGTGATGAACCTACTCTTACATTGGGTACCATTGATGATAACCTCTAGTTTTCCATAGGGAATATCATAAGATTAACGTTTCCTTCTTCCACCGTTTGATTTCTGATGACGATGGTTGATTTCTAATTAATTGGTCCTGACATTGGTATCTGGATACCCATTAACTCATTCATGACATTAATTAAATCTTGTCTTATACAATACTTGTTTCAAATTTTGTAAAAATTCTTGTATCTATACACTATCCTAGCCACTCGACTAGCCATTTTTTAGATTTGTAAACTCCACTGGGTTGGCACTTGAACTTGTTTTATGATTGTCGTTGTTTGTCGTCATTTCTACAGTTTCGTTTCTTTCTGTGCCAAATACAATCTCGTCTTGCTTCTTTGTTTGAACCATTTTTTGATCCAAGTTAGTAATGTTGTCCTACCAGGTGTGCCAAAAGATTACTATTTCAAAATCTGCTCGAAAAGACTAAAATGTCCCAATCAACATAAAGTTTTCAAACAATTGTTTAGATGGATTCAAATGTCTTGTTTTAGAACATCCTTCTATAAAAAACGATAAAGATTATCATTGTGCAAATGCAAAATTTAAAATAAAGAATTAATAAAAGTGAATTCTTTTATTAATCCAATCGAAAAGACTTCAGTTATAAAAGACTAAATGAAACAGCCTAAACTACAACACTAACTGCTCTAAAATTAGCCTAAAAATTACTCGTAATAATGTCCAGATCGTGGGTCTTTTGGGTGTTTGAACATGTCATGTTTTCTTCACTAAATGCCCTTTTTATAGCCATCTCCATCAACGGTTTCCTTTCCATCAACAGTTACTTGATGGTAACTCCCAGTTAGCTACCTCTTTTTTTTTTTCAAATGTAATTGTAATTTATCATCTCCTGTCTTTCTTCAACTTTTGTAATGTGCCACTTCTTTTGCAAATTTCAAATGTCAAATGTCAATGCATTGAATATTCTGAAATTTTATATTTGGGCAAAATCTAGTTTACCCCCTTGTGATTTGGGTGTTTTGCACATGACCCCCTATGATTTGGAAATCAGCAGATTACCCTCTTGTGCTTTTGGACTAAAATGCTACCGTTAGTTTTTCTGTTAGATTAAACCATCTGTGACACACACGCTCCTAAAAGGAGATTTGACATAACAAAACTTTTTTCCTCCAAAAATAGACACAATAAAAGTACAATAATACCATTCTTCAATCTTTATCTTCCTGAACAGTTGACTATCATATTTTTTCTCAAACAATTCACTTCAAGCACCATCTCCTTATCAAAATTTTTAACAACAAAATTTTAAAAATTAAAATAAAGTGGATGATTCTTAACTATGCACGGCTCAAGTGAAATTCATCTTACCACTCAAACCATAGGAATAACTAATGGCTAGAGGTTCAATAATCATGGTGGGATCGTCTTTATGTGCAGGAAGGGGTGAGGCTCTGATGTCTTCGTTGGTCACAGCAAGGAGAGCCTGGGAAAAGGGGGTTTGAGCAGAGAGAGAGGGCAAGGGAGGAAGGGATAGGATGGGATGGAGATCTACCTGGGAGGGCTGTTTGGCGATGGGTTGCCAATAGTGGCAGAAGGGTGGTGAGAGAAAGGGACAATGAGATTGTTACTTAGAGAAAAAGAGAGGGGAGAGGGGGTTGCTGATGGAGAGAGATGATGAAGAAAAGAGAGAGGGGGCAGTGACATTGCTGAGTCAGAGAGAGGCAACAAGGTGTGTAGTGAGAGAAAATCAAAACCCTTGTTTAAGCTTGAAACTTGAATTTTTTGGTATTCAAAATTTCAAATTTCGGAGGTGAAAGGAGGCCTAATCCACCATTTTTAGGGTCAAGGAATCCATTTTTGAAGTTAGAATCAAGAAAGAATGAGGTTTGGTGGGTGAAAAATTGAATTAAAAATCATGACAATTTTTAAAAATTATGAACCTGTCACTTTGGAGCTCGATTTCCACTTACCTTGTGCATGATTTGGACAAACTAAATACATGGTTGGAAAGAGGGTAGAAAGAAGTTAAATTTAGGCATTTGAATCACCCAAAAAAGTTGAGAAACGAGGGAGAAATTAAGGGCCAAAGTTGGCCCAAATGTTGAAAAAATTTGTTATGTACATAATTTGTCAAAATGAGTTTGTGATCACCTTTGAGCTTAAATTCGTGGGTCATGGGGACTATTTAAGGAAACAAGTCTGTGGGGTTTAAAACTAGGTTGAGAGTGGAGGATATTGGCATTGGTTTGAGGAAGTTTGGTACTTTGTGGAGAGAGAGAAAAGCTTGTAAAGTTGGATGATTGGTTGATTTTTTAGAACATTAGTCTACAATTGAGAGGGAGGAAGAAGATGATGAATAGTTGAGGGTACTAAAGTCATTTTACCACTTATGTTTACGGTATTAATTGTGCATATCGGTCCAAAAGCATAAGGGGGTAATGTGCTGATTTCCAAATCATAGGGGGGTCATGTGCAAAATACCAAACCACAAGGGGGAAACTGGATTTTGCCCTTTATATTTTAGGTCTAAACACTATATAAAAAAAACATATCCATTCAACATGTCCTGGCATGCCATTGTTTTATTTTTCAAAGAAATATTGTGTTCATACATTCATGTCACGTTAACTCGTATTCATATCTCATATCTATTTCCGTTGCTATTTGGCTGGACTATGTTAAGCAGTGACATCTCTATCTAATGCCACTTGGTGATGAACAGACTCTGAAATCAACACCAAATTCTTTCTCCTAGACAAATATCAAGTTTTCAGAAGTATCTTCTATATGTCAAGAACCACTTTTCTACAAATTAATCAAACACGTCTAAGAAGCAACCTAAGGAGGTAGGTGAGGGTAATGGTTCTCAAGGTGGTGTAGATGACACAATTGTGCAATAAGCCAGTTGATTTATTAGGATATAGGGTTCCACTTCTCAATCAAAACACACAAAAAAAGAGGTTATCAGCCATGCAGCCACCAGTGTCAAAACCTGCCTTACAAAGAGACTATAGTTCTTGGTGTTGCTTTGTAGGGCTCAAAGAGAAGTAGAGTACCCTTCCTATTGAAGAGATAAAGGCGAGGACACCCTCCGACTATAGCAGATGTTGGAATATTTTAATAAAAATAAAGTAGCCATTATTATTTATCTAATTTATATTACAATAATTTCACCTTTATTTGTATATTCATTTTGACTTGATTATACAAATTTATTTACATCTTTATAAGCCACATGAGTTACAAATTTAACCATTAGTATCTATATAATGAGAATTATAATGGTGAAATTTAGTAGTCCATAAGTTATATGTCATATTCATTGTGAGAATTATTATGGTGAGCATTATATAAATTCAATAAATTATAAAGACCAAAATAATTGAGTTTTATGATATGAGTTAGTGGGTCAATTATTTTGGACAATGAGTTATATATTTCATACACCTATATATATGTTCTATTGTATGAGTGACAAATAATGAAGTATATATATCTTTTTCTTCGTGTGTGTGAAGTTTTTACTTTTCAAGGTTGTGTAGACCTAGAGAAGTTATAGTGAGTAGCTAGGTTATTGTATCCTAGAGGTGACATGTTGTGATCTACTACACCGGACATATTACCCGTAGAGGCGCGAACTGTCCTAAAGAGAGCAACCTAGTCCGCGCCTCAACCCATACTGAGTACTTTATTTGTGGTATGAAATCTATTGTTATCTTCATTTGAACGATGTTCGAGGTAAGTGTAATAATTCTCCTCAATTTCAAGTTTATAGAATTTGTCGGATTAATGTTTATTTCTAATTTTATTCGGATCGAATTCCAACAATTTTAAGGGGTTTAGGCCTTAAAATAGATGTGTGACCATTAATCTCTTTTGCTAGAGATAAAAATAAATAAATAAATAAATAAATAAAATGAAAATAGATGTGAAAACAGTGCCGGTAACTCTTAGGCATTTCATTGGATGAAACAAAATTATTGTTCCATATAAAATGTTAAAAAATGATGTCTGTTGATGTTATTCTGAATTGTATGGGGGAGGGGGGGGGGGTTATACATTGGGTTAGATTATGTTTGTTGTATATTTTATTGATCGTATTTGTTTGATAAAATAAAAAAAGTTCTAATAGGAGTCTTGGTGATCAAAGCTAGGTGTCAAACGCTTCAAATCCATCAGTTATGTATGGATGATTTTATTTCATGTCTAAGCATGATGGTTGGCGGGCTACTCTATGTTTGTCTAAAAGAATGATCTAGAAATTGCTCTATTTAGTTGTAGATCACAATGAATTGGGGGCTCCTATGTGTAATAAAAGTAGTGGCAATGGTTCCACACTTCACAGTTTTTTGTCCATGTCTTCACTTTTAGACCTGGGTGAAAACTACCAGATTGATTAGTTGAAATTAACAAAAAGAGAGCAAAATGAAAGTTTCTTAATTTTGAAAGAAATGAAAGTTACATATGGTCCCTCTTTTGCCTGCCTCCTGGGTTTTTGATGTAGGTTGATTGTTTATTGCATTGAAGGATTAGAATGAGCTGGAAATAGGGATGGCAGTGGACCGGGGAAAAATGGGGATTCGTCCAAACCCGTTCCATTTGGATCGGGGATAGACTATACGTATTGGACGGTGGACCTATACGGGGATACCCGTATAAACCCGTGTGGGGATAAAGGCGGGGATGGACTTACCCTTATCTCCGCCCCGCCCCGTTCCCGTTACCCGTTTAATATATATATATGCCCAGTTAAAAAACTCAAGACCTAACTTCTCTTCTTCTCTTCACCTATCAGCGATTGAGCGCCGCCCCCCTCTCAGGACACACATGAACATCGAGACAAGCTTAGTTCCTCAAAATCCCAAGTCGTGACTATCAACGCAGCCCCCCCTCTCTCTCTGCTTCTCTCAGTCTCAGTCGATCGATCTCAGGGATCTTCCTTAAGGTTTTAGCAGCTTATCGAGTTTGCGATCTTGAGGTGCTTGAGCTTCGTGGAAATCTTTTGACTGGCCAAATTCCAAATAATCTTTCACATCTTTCACAGGCACAAGCATAGCAGGTTATCTCTTTCTCCTCGCAGGTTTAGGCATGGCTGACTTATAAGAAAAAAGAATGAAAGCAATAAGAAAAAGAAAATCCTTTTGCTAGAAATATGTTGATTGAGTTTGTATTTCCTACCAAACAGCTTGTTAATCCCGTAATTAATACCAGATTCAAATATTCTTACTCAACAATCTAAAATATAATGAAACTTTTCTCCTTGTAATGTTTTTAAATTGCACATTTTAATGAAGGTTTAATGTCATCCATGTGCAGTTCGAATTGCACAGATGTCCTTCATTATGTAGGTATTATCCTTGATGTAATTTTATATATTTTCATAAAAGAAATAACTATGTTTCACTTTAATTATTCTTAACCTTTATTTTGCTTGACTTTATCATCCTATTGTATTCGAGAAACTTCTCAGAACTGTTGTTTGTCATACTTCTGTTGACAGGTTATTCCTTTTTCAAGGGAAAGTGCATGGGAGCAACCTCCTCCAGATTTAGCATCTTACTTGTATAAGAATCGAATTGTCTACTTGGGAATGTCTCTAGTTCCATCGGTCACAGAGTTGATACTAGCAGAATTTCTTTATCTTCAGTATGAGGATGAAGAAAAACCAATTTACCTCTACGTAAATTCTACAGGGACAACTAAGGTTAACTATATTGCTTTATTTCATAGGGCTTCATGAATTTTACTTGTATTTTTAAATGTATGACTGAGACTTTTGGGTAATTCCTAACCTCTATGCAGAGACATCGGAATTCAAAGTTTGGTGCCATCACCATAGAGTGGCTTAGGGATGTTTACCTTTTCCATGATTGGTACCCCAATTATTATTTATTCCTTTCAAGGATTCTGCTTTTTTGAAGCTATCAATAGATGGATAGCTTTAGTGGTGTAGATGATAAACAACATTCAGATAACTTCCTCTCTTTTAGATTACTCTCCATTTGGACTTCATATTGGCACCAGAAGTGGAAACATTTGTTGGATATGCACTTTGAAAATTTTGTGTTGTGAAAAAAGAGATATACACTTCGAAAATTTGTGAAAGTGACATTAGTAATCCGGAGTTCAAAAATTTGTGTTTCTCTTATGATGTGATTGTGGGCTTGGATGGGTACGGGTGAAGTGGGGACGGGGGCGGAGATTAAAAAATTCTCCACGGACGGGGATGGGATTAAAAAAATACCCGTTAACGAGGGTAAATCGGGAATGGACGAAGATTTTTTAAGCGGGTACGAGAATGAAAACTATACCTCCCACTCCCACTTCAGTCCACTGACATCCCCAGCTGGAAATAGTGGGGATAATAAATCTGGTTCCTTTGATCAAATACTTACGAATTGTGAGATATAGTTTAGTAGGAATCCTAGTGACGTGGGAGAGGCGCCACCTTGGCCTCTATAAGTATGGGAGGACTATGATGTTTTATTTCTTTAACAGCGGAGATGGGTTACAACGCGGGAATTTGTGAAAATGTACATCATTTCATATTTATTTGTGTAAAAATATTTCAATATAAAATATACATGTATAAGTATATTTATGTGTGAATATTTGATGAAAAGGTATACTTT